GTCACTTATCTCCTTTTAACTTTACATGGATTCTGTGGGATGAACTCAGGTTCTCATGTCTGTGGACCAAGCATCTTTTCCCTTTGAGCCATTGCCGGCTCCCTCCGCTGCCCCCCCCCCCTTTTTGTCCCTTTTTAAAATTAAAGGACTGACAGCATTCAGCATTATTTCAACAGGTCAGCTCCCCCTTGATCTTTTTAAATACATTTCAGTCAGCTCAGCATCCACACTTTGCTTCCATTGGCTGAAATCAGTCTGCCCTTCCTTTGCAGGTTTTGAACAGTGCCAGGTTTATTTTTAAATTCTGGGCTTGTATAGCTTAGTTGTGGCTCACTCTCTAGTCCTCCAAGGTCACAATCTACTACCTACTGTCTTACAGTTATGTTCCTGCAGGACCCCTGTGGATATGTGAGATTCTACCCTCTGAGTTCTACTTCTCAGTTTTCAAGTGGAGAAACCTACAAAGACCTACAAAGGATGACTTGCTCAATGCTCCAGGCCCAGGAAGTGGAAGGATAAAAAGAGGCTCTTGGCCTCTGGTGTGAGGCTTCCCCTCTTACACTAGTGGGTTGACACTCCACTTTCCTGTAGCTTTGACTGAATTAATAAACATATGTGCAACTTCAGCATTTGCCACTGAAACTGCAAGCTTTTGCTGGGGTGGATTTTGTAACAAGAGCCCTTATGTAATGGTGAGTCCTGTGATCTTCCACTTTGCTTTCTGCCCTCCCATCAGGTGAATCTCACACTTGGAGATTCTTTTTCTCCTTCTGCCTATGGCTGCTTCTCCCTTCCTAGCAAATAGCCCTGCTTGGAACTTTTCACTACACAGTCTGCACAGTAAATATGTCAGATGTTCTATTTGGTATTTATTTCAAGAGAAAGGAAAAAACTAAACCAAACAATGCACACTATTCAAGGTCTGGTTCAAATATTCTATCTACTGTGTAGCTGTGTCTGTTCTTTATTTACATATTTGTATTATAATATTTATAATGCAATAAACATATTTGCAGTAACACCCACAGCAGTGTGTGCTTACATTTTCCAAAGGCTTTGTCTCCCCTCGTTGTCCCTGCCCCTCCCTGTCAATCCTTGTTTACTGAACTGAATGGAGAGGACTGAGGTTCATGAAAAGAATTCTGGGAACAATCTGCATTCATTACTTTTCTTCCAAAACTGGACAAAGACTAGACTTTGGTTGTCTTTGTTTTAGAAAGAAAATATGCCACTGTGTGTAGAGCTGAAGGGAAAGTATCCTTCTATCTTCTGAAGGTTTGCTGAAATTAGTGGACAACACACAACTCAGTAGGAAAAAAAGGCATATAGATTTATTTACCCTGCATAGGGTGTACTGGGGTGTAACTACCCAGCAACTCAGTGAGATTTAGACGCTTATAAGCCTTCCTGGAGTTGGGAGGGATGTAGGTAGTTTAGGGAAGAAGATAAAGAAATGTTTGCTAGTTCAAATAATTATTGTTACTTCTAACTATACCAGAGGATCAAGAATGGCTTTTTGTGGTTAAAGTTATAAATTTTTCTTTCTTTCTTTTTTTTTTTTTTTTTCTTTTTGAGACAGGGTCTCCTTGTAGTCCCAGCTGACCTGAACTCATTATGCAGACCAGGCTGGCCTTGAACTCACAAAGATCCAGCTGCCTCTGCCTCCCAAGTGCTGGGACAAAAGGCATGCACCACCACGCCCAGCCCAAAGTTATAAATTTCTACACATTGTAATTAGAGGGAAATGAAGCCCAATTGTTTATAAAATAGTGAGGTTATATTTGTATAAACACATACATGAAGAATTTCTATAGACTGTTGAGATGGTTCAAGTTTGACAACCTGAGTTGGCACCCACGCGGTAGAAAGAGAAAACTGACTCCTTCAAGTTGTCCTTTGACTTCTACATGTGTTTGTGCAAACACATACACAAAATAAACTGTTAAAAAACTTTAAAAAATGAATTTTCAAAGAATCTATTGTGGGCTGGTGAGATGGCTCAGCAGTTAAAAGCACTGGCTGCTCTTGCAGAGGACCCAGGTTCAGCTCCCAGCATCCATAAGATGGCTAACAACCATCTATAACCTCAGGTCTAGGGGATTCAGCACCTTCTCTGGCTTCTGTGGACATTGCATGCACAGGTGCACTTACATGCAGGCAGAACACTCATACACATAAAATAAACAATTTAAAAATAACCTAATGTGTGAGATTTTTTAGAATTTTATATCTTTTGGAAGATTTTAAAATAAAAATATTTACAAAATGCAGTTTTTAAGGGTTTTTCATAATTTAGTTTTTTTAAGAAAAAAAGTTATAGAGAGTGCCACAAGGTGGCACTAAAATCTAGTGAAAATTTCAGTCTCTGCTCTGGTCTTGGAGGAGTGGGTGTGATTTACAGGAGACATTGGACCGAAAAAAAACCACCCCACCAAAAATCAGACAAAGGGCAAATAAATTGGGTTGTAGGCTAGAAATGGATTCATCCTCTCCTTTTGTCTGAAGGATGATTTCCCTTTTGCACTGGCATATGTATGTATCTCGAAATGAGTCTACATGATAATATCATTTTGGAAATGAGCTCTGGTAGGAGAATTAGCTGTGGTCATGGCCTCTGACTAGAAGTGCTTTATGAGGGGTGGGGGTGGGGCAGGGAGCAATTGTGCAACACATCACCTAGTTTGGAAAAGTTTATCTTATGAGTGATGTGCTCTTTGAAGCAGCCAGTCTTTGCAGGGCTAAAGCATTATGGGTGAAAAAAAATGAATACCAAGATAAGAAGCTGCTACAGAATGTGAGTTTTCTATTTGTTTATTTTGGCATATTTGCTCATTTCATATTTTTAGCAAATATTTCAACACAGAAACTTAAGTTTGGCACCAACCCCCCGCCCCAACATGTCTGGAAGTCAGGAAATGAGTGAACTTAATGCCTCTTCCTGGCTCTTTGTATTTGTCTTTAACACACACACACACACACACACACACACACACAGTTCAAAGCTCTAATTGTTTTGTATTTTCTTAATATTTGAAACTTCAGGACATAGGCAAGATTCCCAAGCTATATTAAGATTGAGGAAAGCAATGTTAACAATACAGCCATAAAAAGTTTGGACTAAAAGGAGAAAAATATGTGTAGATAAGATTTATTTTTTTCCTAACAGGGGAAAAAAATGTCCAGATTGAAATCCTAAACCAATGACCAACAAAATTTTTTGGCTACTGACAATTCTTTAGGTCTGACAAACAAAAGCAAAACAAAAGAAAGCAAAGGCTAGGTCTAAAGAAAGCCCATTTCTCCTGGTCTCTGAATAAGATGCTCCCTCTAAGATGGGGTTAGTGGCACTAACATCATATTTGACCTGATCATATTTATATGGTCGCATAGAGACCTTCACATTTGGATTGTATGTTAAAACACTGGCTGAGTGGATGGATGGGTTTGGTCAGATTGTTACAGCAGAATCTGGTGTTGAGGAAAAACCCCTAGAAAGTTCCAAATGGGCCTTTGAGAACTTGGGTTGACTTTCCATAGCCATTTACTTCCTCTTCTTCCTCCTCCTCCTCTTCTTTCTCCTCTCTCTCTCTCTCTCTCTCTCTCTCTCTCTCTCTCACCCTATCTCTGTTGTTCATGCTGACCTCAAACTGCTGGACTCAAGAGGTATGCAGCCCTGAGCCTTCTGTGTAGCTGGACCTACAGGGGCAGGCCCATGACACTCACCATTTGCTAATTCTTGGAAAGGGCCATACATAGTGCTAGGTCTTCAAGATGCTGAGATGAAATGAAATCCTGGCACCCAAACAACTCACAGTCCGGGGAGAGAGACAAAGAAACCGGGTAATAGAGCCTCATCATGACTTGGTGGGTCATTTCTTCTACCCTGGATGTTGCCCATTAGCTGGTAACTTGACCTAGCCCTCCAAGATGGACTCCAATCCCAGTTTTAACTGTCTTTCAAGTACAGCCACACCAAACCATCCCTCTGCTTTGTTCAAGCAGTTTGTTTTGGGGGGCCCTCCCTGACACCCCCACTGCTTCCCACCCCTTCTGTTCCTTCAGGACAGGAGGTAAGGTGTCATCCCCTGCAGGATAGGCAGGTGGTGGAGGATGAATTAAGGCCTGGTGTATATAAGAAGACTAGAAATTTAGTACCCACTGTACATTGATGTCCCCTCAGTGCCTGCCTCCCTCTTTTGCTGGCTTCAAGTCTTTCACCTGCTTCATGAGGGCTGGGATGGGTGGGTCTTCAGGCTTAAGGACCACAATCAGCTGTAATCAAGTGGAGCTGGGTGGAGGTGGCCTCCCCAGCAGGATGACTGCCTTTAAGTGGAGAGGCTGGCACCTTCCCTTTCCATTATCCCAAGGCTGGGTAACTCAGTGCTCTTTCCCCAAGTGGAGAACTTGAAATCCAGAGCCTGGAAAAGACTCACCCAAACCCACCCAATTTACTGTCAGTCTTTCACTAGGAGTGTAGCCACAGGGCGAGTATCGGGGATAGGGGGTGGGATGGGAGTGTCTGGGCAGAGGAGGGGTCTGCCTCCAAAAGAAAGAAAAAAAAAAAACCTTTCGGCTAGGAAACAAAAGTGTGTATGGGTGTGTTTATTTAAAAACAAAACCACGAAATGGCAGCGCCCCTCCCTAACGTTTGTTCACCAGCCGGGAGTTTGCACCAAAGCCAGGGATTCTGAAGCCGAGGGAGTCAGCAACGCCCCACAAAGTGCCGAGGGTCTCGGAGCCGCGGGCCCAGACCCGGTGGACTCGAGGCAGCCTGCTCCACCGCTCCGCGCGCGGGGGAAGGCGGGGACCAGGCGGCCGCGGAGTCCGGCGGGGCCGACCGGCGCGCGGCCTGGCCAGTCAATCAAGCTCTCCCGGCCCCGCCTTCGGGCTGCAGCGGGCAGCCAATCAGAACCAAGCTCCGCAGCGATGAGCTCAGCCGTCTCGCTTCCCATTGGACGGCTATATTAAGAAAGTGGCCGGACTCTTTAAATAGCAGGCGCTAGGGCCGCAGCCCGCATCTGCCACCGCAGTCTGCGAGTAGTCCTCAGCGCCTCGGTACTCTAGGCCTCGAGAGACCCCGGGGAGGGAAGCGAGGCCGAGTCCGTAGCTCCAGCCGTTGCTTCCCACAAAGCGGCCCAGCCCAGGTGGGGCGAGGACAGCGGCCACCGGCCGGGAGCAGCGCGCCCCGGAGCAGCGCAGCGAGACGCTCGGTGCGCCCTATGCCCCCGCGCCCCTGCTGGAGCGCCCCGAGAGAACGCACCACCGCGGGCCCCGGGTGCAGCTAGCGACCTTCGCCCGCAGCGCGCGGCCCAAGGTGAGCGGTGAGCGGCGAGCGGGACGGCGGCGAGGCGTTCGCGGGCCCCCTTCTGCTGCCCGGGCCCGGCCCGCTCATGGCGGCCATCCGCAAGAAGCTGGTGGTGGTGGGCGACGGCGCGTGTGGCAAGACGTGCCTGCTGATCGTGTTCAGTAAGGACGAGTTCCCCGAAGTGTACGTGCCCACCGTCTTCGAGAACTATGTGGCCGACATCGAGGTGGACGGCAAGCAGGTGGAGCTGGCGCTGTGGGACACGGCGGGCCAGGAGGACTATGATCGCCTGCGGCCGCTCTCCTACCCCGACACCGACGTCATCCTCATGTGCTTCTCCGTGGACAGTCCGGACTCGCTGGAGAACATCCCCGAGAAGTGGGTGCCCGAGGTGAAGCACTTCTGCCCCAATGTGCCCATCATCCTGGTGGCCAACAAGAAAGACCTGCGCAGCGACGAGCACGTCCGCACGGAGCTGGCCCGCATGAAGCAGGAACCGGTGCGCACCGATGACGGCCGCGCCATGGCCGTGCGCATCCAAGCCTACGACTACCTCGAGTGCTCGGCCAAGACCAAGGAAGGTGTGCGCGAGGTCTTCGAGACGGCCACGCGCGCCGCGCTGCAGAAGCGCTACGGCTCCCAGAACGGCTGCATCAACTGCTGCAAGGTGCTATGAGGGCCGCGCCCTGCCTCCCGCCCCTGTCAGCGCGGCTCCCCCCTCTCTGGTCTCGTCCCCCACGAGCCGGGAGAAGGGGAGACCACGTCCCTAAGGACCCCACCAGACAGCCTGGCGTCTGCTGGCGGCTCTGGCTGGTTACGCCGAGAATTAGCGTGGGCACCGAACGCCCCCTTCCCAGTGTCTGTGTGAGTCGAGCTGTGTGGCACAGGCCTGGGTGGCCTGCTGAGTGCCAAGGGGTCCCTGAGCGTCCTTTTCTCAAGAGCCAGGCCTCAAAGAGTGGTTGTGTGTATGTACGACTCCCCCCACCCCACCCCACTTTTGCTCCACCCCTGCCCCTGGTTTCTCCAGGGGCAGAGCGCGGAGTGTGGGCGCGCCCCGCTCAGATGTTCGCTCTTAATCAGCAAACCAGTGCTGGCCCTTGTCTGTAACATAGACCCTTGAACGATGGATTGGGAGGGCTGGGGAGGATGGGGGTTATATAAATATAGATATAATTTTATTTTCGGAGGCAGATGGTGTTATTTAATAATGGTGGTGAGTGGAGTAACCAGGGCGCTACAGCAACTCCTTTCCCAGGCTGGGTCAGGCGCCCCCACCCATCCATCCATGAAACTGGACTTGGCCATCTTTCCAACCTCTGGGGAAGAAATTCCAACTGACTTGGGGTTGAGAGGAAGCAGCTTCCAGACGGTCTCCTGCAGGCTATCCCCCAGCAAACCCTAAGCCAGCCACCAGCAGGAGAGGCAGGAGAAGGGAGGGTGTGCTGCGGGGGTGGGTTTTTTTCACGAACTTTGTGCCTGTCCTACAAGTGAAAATTGTTCAGTCCAAGAAACTTATTGGATTTATTTAAAGGCTGAAGCTTTTTTGTTGTTGTTGAAAGAATTCTTTGCACAATTGTTTCATTGTTAGACACTCCACGCACTTGTCATTTGCATAAGACGGCATTCAGACCACACTTGTATGCTGTAACCTCATCTACTTCTGATGTTTTTTTTAAAAAAACCATGATGACTTCAGAGTAAGGAGATGAAAAAACCCACTAATTTTTGCTTTGTTTTCTTGAAAAGAAAGTGGCAACACTGTTTTGTGATTGTGTGTAGGGTATGCACACTGTTTTGATAAAGGAAGGCAACAAGTATTGGGGTCTGTTTAAAACTTTTTTTTTCACAAGGCAGTTTTCAGCTATGTGAAATTTTCTCTGCATCTATATGCAGAGAAAACCCTCCTTTCCGGTTTCCTCCCTCTCCCCTTCCCAGCCCAGTGGTACTTCTACTAAATTGTTGTCTTTTTTTTTTTTTTTTTAAATAAACTGACAAATGATAAAGTGGTGAGCTTATGATGTTTACATAAAAGTTCTATAAGCTGTGTATACAGTTTTTTTATGTAAAATATTAAAAGATTATGACATTTATAAATGGCTCCTGTGGCTTAATAATATGTTTAATATCTGTGAATTTGGGGCAAGGGAAGAATTCATGGTGAGACCCTTTCTGGCAGCAAGTCCTTGTCCCCTGGAGTAAATACCAACAATCCTGGCATCTCAGAAGTTTGGATGACCCAGAGAGACCAGGTTGTTCTTGTCATTCCCAGAGGAAGATTAGTGTGTACTTAGTCCCATTAGGTGAGATGCAAAGTCGTGGTTTGACTTCATTGTATGTCTTAAAACACTCCTAAATGTATTCAGGAGCTTTGCTTATTTGAGAATGAAAGGACTTGTCATTTGTGCTTGTTAAATGTGGGTAACTTTTTAAAAAATCACATGTGGGCCAGGCTAGTTACTTGAGATTTGAGGAATAGACAGTGCCCTGAGACATCTAAGCTGGTATCTTTGGGGAGAGGAATGTGTGTCTGGAGCTCTTGAGTGGGAGTGGGAGAGGGAGTTGAAATGAGGAACTGGTTCTTTTGTTAACAAACCTGAGAACCTGAATGTGTTCCAGAAGGACGCCATAATGCCTTATTCTAATGCCAGGAAAGCCCATACAGACAGAAGGCTGGGTGTGCTTGACTAGTAGTTATTTAAAGTTGGAGCAGTCCCATTTTGAAATTCCATGTTGAGGCCCTCTGATTTCAGACAGGCTGCCTTCTGCAGTCCTACTCAGAGCTAGACAGGCTGGTGTGTACTTGGAGACCACATTCAAATCCTGCTCTGGACAGGAGGGCTTGAACATTCCAGCTCCCAGAAGCTTCCAGGGAGGGGTGCCAACTTCTCCCCCTACCTAAGAAGTGTGTTTTTGTTTGGAATCAGTACTTTCTGGGTTTCTAGCACTTATAGGCCACTCTCTGCACTCCTCCTCCACCCAGGGCCCAGGCTGGGTTGGTCATCTTTGAAGTTGTTTGCTTCAAAGCTGAGGCATCTGTTCTCACCGGCTTCCCTCAGACTCTGAAGAGCTTTTGTGAGTGCAGAAAAGAAAAAAACCCTGGTCTGTGGTGACCTTTCACCCACTTAAGCATGGGTAGGGGGACCCAGGCCTCCAGCTCTGGCGCACTGGTGGACAGTGGGGGATTGTTCGGGCTCCCCCAGTAGTGCAAAGGCTGCATCCATCCAGGGTGGTGGTTTCTTTGAGCACCACCTCACTCCTTCCTGGCTGCTTCCTCTCCCTTTGGCGCCATTCACCCTCATCCCATAGCCTATTTCTTTTTCACTTTAGAGACAAATCTTCCCATTGAAACACACAGTATTTACTTGCAGATTTCAGAGCTAGCCAATCCTTTAGTACCAGGGAGTGCAGGACTCTGTTGGGGAAGAGCACAGGCTTGGGCCAAATGCCCAGAACTCAGCTCTGCAGCCAGCCAGTGAGAGCCTAGAGACACTCCTGAAAAGGCCTGCCTTGGGTTTCCTGCCAGCCTAGATCTGCCTGGTACCTAAAGTGGTTTTTCATGTTTTGGAGGGAGAGTAACACCCAGATGATGCATGGCAGCCCAAAATATGCTTGTTTAAAATGCATGGCATTTATTATAATAATCCTGGCGGAACATACTCTTTTTGCTGCATTAGGATCCAACTGGAAGATATAAAGATGAATTGCTGAAGGCTGGAAAATCAATTAGGAAAAGGAGGTAAAACATCTGGTGTTATTCTTAGGGTATGAAAATTCATTTTGCACATTTGAAATAAATGTGTTGAGTTCATTTAATTGCCTGTTGAACTGTTTTGTGGAAAATAGTGGGGGAGTTTCATTGATCCTGGGCATTTTACAGCAAGGGGCATGGTCTTGAGCTCTCCTTTAATCGTAATCTTAAATCAATCTGGATTCTAAGGCATTTTTCACATGTGTTTTAGTAGACTTCAAATGGAGTTTTAAAAACTTAAGTGTGATGGGAGTCATATGGAGAGCTGGTTAAAACCATATTGCTGCTGCTGGTAGCCCAGAGTTTCTGATCCAACAGGACTGGGTTGAGGCTTGAGAATGAATTTCTAATATGGTCATAGTGACACCAGTGCTGCTGGCTTGGGGACCACACTGAGAAGGAGTGGCTTAGAATAAGAGAATGTGCTTTTCAAGGTAGAGTGAGCAGGTGGTTTCCATATTAAAGTAGATAAAATTCTTCAGACTTCTGATGTGTCCTGCATAACTTCCTTACCCCAGGGAGTACAGAGAAACAGAACTCTGCACCTTGTTCCGCTTCAGCACCTACTTTGTTAGCTCTGATGAAATGGGAGATATAAAAGCAAGAAGATACTGCCCTTGCCTGTCAGGAGCTAGGTCAGAGCTTTGTGGCTCAGGCAATGACAGGAATGTACTTATGAGGACCTAGCATGCTCTGATGGAGGCACCAAGTAAGGAGAGGACAGGGGCCCAGGGAAAAGGTGCCTATATTTGCCATGTACTTTGGGAAAGGTGTCATGGAGGAGGAGGGATGTGCTTTAACTGAGTCTTAAAGCAGGGGTGGTTAGTATGTAGGTAGATGGAAGAAATGGTTTAAGGTTAAGCATGGAACGATGGACACCTGAGCCATTAACACTTCAATGATGTGCACAGTTTCTTTTTATTTAAGTCTTAGCCTCTTTGGGGTGAGAACTACATTAAGCACCTCTGGCATATATTTCTTTAATCAAGAAAAACAATTTAAACAGCCAAGCAAAACACAGCCTCTACTCTTCTGTCCCATTCACAGCTCAGGATGTATCTATCTGCTAGGCCAGGGGAGAAGGTGTTGATGATGGTGTCATTGTTTTCTCTGTGTCTTACAGAAATGTGGTGCAGACATGGGGGCTGGCTTTGCAATAACTGTGCTCCTCAGGAACACACTAGGGGCTCATGATGGAACCTTGTACCCCATCTTCTTGAACTCTTACCACATTCTTTGGTCCATCTTCTGGCTAGAGTGAGAACTTTAGTACTCAGGCTGCTCCCAACTCTCAGCGGCCCCCTTTTCCAGCCTAGGAGATAAGAGTATAGAAGGTCCAATTCATTCTTTTCTGTTTATTCTTTCTTTATTTTTCCTTGAGATAGGGTCTCATGTAGCCCAGGCTGGCTTTGAACTTGCTATATAAGCAGAGGATCACCTTGAACTTTTTATCCTACTGCCTCTACCACCTGAAGTGCCAAGATTACAGGCATATATGGATCACCATGCCATTTATGTAGTGCTTGAACCCAAGGCATTATTATGCTAGGTGAGCACTCTACCAACTAAGCTACATTCCCAGCCCATCTTCTTTATTTCTTTAGTCAACAGATATTTGTTGTTGGCTGAAAGAATCTGGGCTAAGCAATATGCCAGGAGTATGACAGGCAGTAGATAAATAGGCCTCATCTCTCTTCCCCTTGAATCGTCAGTCTAGTAGTATGTCTAAACAAACAATAATAATGATAATATTAGCCAGGATTCATTGACTATGCACTCGGTGTTATTCTAAACCCTTTGTTTTGTGATTTTATTTAATCCTTATATTAATATCTATGGTTGCATTGCAAATTATGCCAAAACTCAGTGGCCTAGAAGACCATTTATTGCTTCACAGTTTCTGCAAATCAGGAATTCAGACACAGTTTAGCTGTGTCTTCAGGTTCAGGGTTTCTCACAAGACAGAAATCAAGTGTTGATCAGGGTTGGATTTACCTCAAGGCCTCCCTTGGGAAGGATACAATCCCAAGCTCACTGATGTATCTTCCTGGCTAAGGTCACCCTCTGTTCCTTGCCATGTGGGCTTCTCCAGAGAACAAGCTATCATCAGCTAGCTTCATCAGAGCAAAAGGGGGCAGGGAGGGAGAGAGAGAGAGAGAGAAGAGAGAGAGAGAGAGAGAGAGAGAGAGAGAGAATATGAATGAGAGAATGTAGGCAACATAGAAGTCATAATCTTTAGTAACCTGATCGTGGAAGTGATAACCCATCACTTTTGCTCTGTTCTATTTATTAGTCCAGCCCATATGTAGTAGGAGTGGATAGACACGAGGCATACATACCAGAAGGTAAGCTCATTGGGAGCCTTTTTAGTAACAGTCACCACAATCTATGCAACAACTCTGCAGAGGGTCCATTGTTCTTGTTTCACTG